TGCCACGAAGAATTGAGGCAGTTCTGAAGGCAAAAGGGGGTCCACCCCGTTACTAGACAGGTGTACCTAATAAAGTGGCCGGTGAGTGTATATGTCATGCTTTACATTGTTTTAGCCTAATATAGGCTTATTGTTTTAAAAAAGAAAACAATTTATTCTGAAAGTGTGGCGGCTATGATTTTTGCCGTGGCGGTGCGCCACGATCAATTACATGTAGGGGAAACCCTGCACAAAAACACACACATATATAGGAATAAAAATGTAATAAATCACACACAACACAAACACACACAAACATATATATACCTCCACCAAGGAGGTAGGAGGTTACTTATGTCTGTCTGTCTGTGGACAAAATTACTCAACAACTTATAGATGGATATTCCATGACAATTTTACCACAGGTGGGTTTTGGCCAAAGGAACACACCATTAAACTTTGGGGATGATCCGGATGCAGGAATGTTTTGAAGGATTCTTCACTATTGCAGGATAGGGGAAATTGGCCTTGGTGGAGGTTTGCACTCTCCGGGTGCTTCTAGTTAAAATAATATTTTGGTTTTACTTCAGGCTTGGGCCTCTAATTCGAGTTAATTAGTCAGGTTGGATCAGGCTTGAACACAACGCCTGTGGGCTCAGGCAGGGTTGGATGCTTTAGGACCGATCTAAGCTCTAAATTAGGGAAAAAAAGGATTAGGGAGTAAAAATCAGATTATACCTGAACCATGGAAAGCAGTTCCCACCACTCGCACACAGCTCGGCACTCTGAGGTCCCAGAACCGCACGGTTTTATCTTGAGATCCAGACGCAATCATCCAGCCTCCCCAAGTATACAGAGACAGAATGTGACCTGCACAGAAACAACTTTAGTTTCTCCTTCAGGCTGGAACCTTCAGCCCAGGTGGACATGGCTGAAGAAGCGGCCGGTGTACCGGTGTGTCCACTGAGCGCGTGCAGTCCCTGTCCCCTCTGGCAGTCGGTGGTGTAGATGTTACAGTCTCCTGCTCCAGCGCTGATCAAAATGGCTCCTCCGCTTTCTGGACCCTCCATGAAGGCCAGGTCTCTGATGGTGCCATCGTGCATGCTGAACTCCAGGTCTGGTCCTGAAGCACAAACCCAAAAATAAGAACCCTGCCACCGACAAACTTGTGTAATCTTGTGCACAACTCCCACCTGTAGCATTGCATGTTTCTGCACTGAACGGCAGGACTTTGACGTATTTGTCATTGGAGCCTGTAGCCAGCAGCTGCCCACAGTGACTCCAGGCCACACAGTAGATGGAGCCTTTGTGGTGTTTGTTCCTCTTGAAGCGAACAGACGGCTGTTTTGTGGGACTTAAAGCACTAAAGTGTGGAAAAAAAAGACAACAAAGTTAAAAGATGGAACATAACCGTCTCTACTAAATGAACGAGTGCGTCTAACTCTTCCCAACCCAGGTCCCCAAGGAACACCATCCTGCATGTTTTAGTCATTTCCCTGCTTTTCAGAATCACTCATTCATACAAATCAGGTGTGTCAAAGCAGGGAAAACATCTAAACCATGCAGGTTAGTGTTCCTCCAGGACCAGGGTTAGGAACCACTGGTCTAGCTGCTCTCATGTATTTTAGCTCAGTTGGTTCACAGGAAGGCACCAGTTCTTCAGACGTGCAGCAAGAGGGCGCTGCAGCGAGACGATCCCAAGGAGGTTCTATAGAACTGGAGTGCGCAAAAACCATGTGACCGTGTGATCAGCTGGTGAAGCTAACGGCTAACACTAAACAGGCAAGACTCTGGGTTTCCCATTACTGTACATGTTGACAACAGAGCAGAAAAAAAACTGACGATGTAGAAATCATTAAAACTATTAATAATAATATTAATCCAATTATTATTAATATTTTACAGTTTATATAAGCTAACGTTTTAAATAATGTCAAAAAAGCTGTTTGTGTTATGGATTTATTAACAGAAGATAAACAGGAAAACGTCTCATTTTACAACACAAGTTAGCAGATTTTATCTTATTTAGCTCAATGTGATCTGAGCAGAACATAATGTAACAGTTTAAAATTAAAATAATCTTATAAAGTCCATGTAATCACTGTTATTTATTGAACTGGTTAGCAGATATTAGCTTGTGGAGCATATAGTGTAGCCCTGTTGAATCATGTTACAATTTAACACAAACTATTAACTATTACAGCTGATTTGTCCTCTGATTAATATTTAGACCTACAGAGTGTAAAATATTATAAATGTGAGTATTTTTAGGTTTCTGTTAGAGGAACCTGACACGTTAAGAAGATGGTTAGCTAATTGAGACAAGGTTCATCCTATAACCAGAGAACATTTTCTAACTGTTGACTGGTAAATATACAGTAAATACTTGTTTTTTATGACAGTAAGAAGAAATAATAAATATACTTTATTACTAGCTGAAGTCATCATTTTTCAACTAGCTAAAGTCTAAGTTACAGGCTAACTTCAGGTCTGGTTTAGATCATTGTTACTTGTAAATTATATATTTTTCTGGTATATGTCTGCTGTTTTACATGGTTGTTGAATGAAATTAACATAAGTATTAATTTATTGTAAAAACATGACAGTTCCGGTTCAGCTTGCTGTTTATCTATTAGTTTCTATAGAGGCTGTAAGCTGTTGCCCTTTTAGACGCCATTTCTGCTCCTCCATGCTGTCACAGACACTACCAGTGTATGGTATGGGCGGGTATTAGTCTAGTGATTTTATATTTGTCTATGGATGATCCCATTACAAGCAAGCAAGTTTATATAAAAGTATACATAAATCATGAAAAAAACTGAAATATTTAACAAAATTGATGGCTTGCAGGCACAAAAAATGTAATTTTGGAATCCAGAACAATAAATAAAATAAAATAAAATACTAATACCTCAGTCTGCATTTCACCAGTTTTCTACTTCTAATGTACATTTTTTGCATCCATCTGTGTTTATTTGCATATTTTAATAGAAAAACAAAACAAAAACAAAACCCACAGACATTTAAACAAGGAGCTAGAATGAGAAAACTGATGATCAGAAAAAAAAACCAACAAAAATTGATGTTCAAACACTTTTATGTTTTTGTTTTTTTACTTGTAGGGACAAACGTTTATCCCCAGGAACAATTTCTCTGCTTTCCGAAAAGGCACCAAAGGAAGGACCCTCATAAGGACCCCAGACAGCAGGAAAACCGTAGAAGTTTGTCATAGTCAGTTTATCTAAGAACTGTTTCTTTCATCCAGTTACATTTAGGCTAATAAAAACAAAATCTATTTAAAAACAAATAACTGATAATCGCCTCCTGATACAATTTGTACACCCACTGAGGGAAGCCCACCTTGTCAGCAGGCCTCTGGTCATCTTAAAACCTTTTGTAAATAATTCTGCAAACTATTTTTTAAATCTCTGTTGCCTTATAAATAAGGTTGGTGTTTGGTGTTCAAATAACACTGATGATGATGATGATGATGATGATGATGATGATGATGATTACCTTGGGTCCAGATTTTCTGGGTATGCACACACACGAAGCGTTTTGGAGTTGGATCCCACAGCGTACAGAGCTCCAGATGGGTGAAAGGCCACGGCTCGGACCGCCTGAGTGTCTTCCAAAGTGTGCACGGGTACAAACAGGTCTTTTGGTTTTTCACCCTGAAAAACACACCGATGCTTTAAAAAGCACCTCCACGCTGGATAACAGTTGTTCCTGAGAGAACCCTAACTGCTGTGAATTTAGTGAACATAGTTGAGAGTCGTTTGTGACGCTGTACCTCTTTACTTCTAGATAAAGATCCAGGAGAGTCACCCTGAGACCCCCCTTTAGGTTTCTGCCCACTGTGAACAAAGGGAACGAATCAGTCGCCATCTACCAATATAATAAAGTGAAAGCTAAAGAAAGCCCATTAACCTGGAGACGACGGGGGATTCGTTGGGAGGCGGGACCACACGGCCCCCTACGGAGCGCTGAGGGGTGCTGCTGACCACCCCTCCCCCCCGGCTCCGGCTCTGCTCGGGCGTCACAGACGGGGGGTTATTGTTGTCCTCGGCGGTGGGGGTGTTCCCGTTGCCGTTACACTGCTGGGAGAGAGACTTCACCTCCTCTCCTAAGTTCTCCATCCCCACGTTGAGCTCCTCGAGCTTCTGAATGGACCTACGCAAACAAACATCCATCAACAATATAGTTTGTCTTTTATTCTTTATCTTAGCCTCTTTTTAATAGAAAGAAAAAAAGGGACAAAAACTAAGTAAAGTACAACATACGGCAGGCTTTCTGAATATCGTAGAGGAAAACCTAAAAAGGAGAAAGAGCTTCTGCATTGCAGAAAAAGTCTAAATGTTTTTAGTTTCTTGTGTTTACATTATAGCTGAAGTGCCATTAAACATGTACGATAATACTTGTTAAATAGGTTAAATATTGAGCAGAAGTGTAAGGAGGCGATGGCCCCAGGTGGTGCAGCTGATCAGAGCAGATGGTGCAGAGTGGAGGGGGCTGCCACATGGGACCCATCATTCAGAGCTTTAACATGTCAGCTTCATGTGCTCCGACAGCTGCTCCTCTATTGTTACACACGCTGTAATTAACTCGCTTTAACACCCGACTTAAAAAAAAACCCATCAGTTTCTGTAACTTCGCCTGATGTCTTGAGCTCTAAAGCGTCTGTACCTGTTGAGGAAGGTCTCCGTCAGGCTGTGCTGCATGTCGTTGGGCGGGGGCTCCTGCTGGACCCCTCCCTCCAGCAGCATCTGCTGGTACATTTGCCTCTGCTGCTGCTTCTGCTCCAGGTGCTGCTGCACGCGCAGCCGCTGGCGGTAAAACTCCTCGTACTTCTCTGTCGAGTCGCGCAGCTGAGGAGAGAAACCCAAAGCTGTTGATGCACCTTACCAAGTGGAGTCATTTCTATATGAAAAAATTATATGACCTGGATGTGAGGTTTTATTTGGCTAGAAGTGGAGTGATGTGATAGAGGACATATTTAACAGTTTAAATAAAGACAGATGTTTAAAAAAATCAATTTCACTTATTAATGATTGGATTTTGTTGAATAAATTTTAAAAAAAAGGAACAAAAGTTACTATTTCTAATTAGCCAGCTTGGGTAAGGATCTTTAAATGTAGCACTGGACAGCAGCATTGTGGTCCTCTAAGCCCCGCCCCCTCTCCCATCAGCTCAGGTATTAGATGAGGGAGGGAGAAACAGAGCTGACGACGGGTCATTTCCCCTCTCTGTCCTCTGCTTCCTGCCCTGATAATCGGACAGAAACAGATCTACTGGACGTTTGGGACAAAGACAGACCCTGGCATTGTGCCATGCGTGGGAAAAAAAGAGAAGTAGAGGAGGAATGTGACTGTAAGATCACAGAGGCTTTAAAGTCTGCTTGTGTTTCCAGAAGGATCTCCAGGGTGACAAGGGAGGCAGAAACACGAGGCAGCCGCTGTTTAAACACTATGTTTACATGTAATATGAGGCCATAAATGACCTATTTATGTGTCTGAGCTCATCAGCCTCGTGTCCCAGCTGACCTGGGATCAGATCCACCTGAAAAATACGTTTTTATTTATTTATTTTTTTTAATACTACTACTACTGTATTTTTTCATACAATACTAGACATTTAACCCTAAAAATCATCCATAACGTGAGGGGTAGTATTATCCAGGGGTTACTGATAATTAGATTTTTAATGCTTTTTAAGCTAAAAAAAAATGATCGTATTATACATGAATAAATACGGTAATTATGTTTTCAGTCCCTTTTAATCCATTGTTTATGAGCATTGTTAGAAAATTTCAGTAAAATTTAAAATATAGCAAGTCTATTAAGTTAAATAAAACATCAAAAGCAGCTGTTTACCTCATTCCTGTCAGCAGATCCAGCTGCTGGTGCATCCTCGCCTGGAGCTGAGGCAGGACGCGTGCTCTGAGCTCCACCTGAGCTCAGCATCTTATCCACCGGCGTGTCTGTTCTGGATCTGCTCACACAAAACGACATCAGAGATCCTGACAGGTGTTTTGGGTGTCACTGAGATTCTCTTACGTTTCAGGGGATTCCTCGAAGATGCTGTGGCATTCGGAGCTCTCCATCATCAGACTCCTGCTCAGGTTGGGCCCTCCCGCTCCGGGGTAGTGGAAGTTGGCGAACGAGTGAGACATCGGCGAGACTCCCCTCCCGGTCGCCACCTCCCCGACGCTCGCCCGTTTATCCTGGCCGGACAGGCCGTAGGACAACCCGTCCAACGCAGGGTTCAGGGAGCGGGACATGTAGGTGTCCGCAGACTGAGGGCGCCGAAGCGGCGAGGACGGGTACGGGGAAAGCTTGCTGATGAGCGGGGTGAGGAGGTCGGCGTAGCCGGTCTTGGCCGGCTTGACCAAGCGGTCGACGTGGATGTTGAGCTGCTTCTGTTCGAAGGCGCAGGTGAAAACACTGTGGGACAGGTTCTGCATCCAGGACAGCAGAGACAGGTCCAGGTCATCGCAGCCGTTACCACACAGCATGTCAACACCCAGGAGGACCTCCCCTTCTGTGATCTCCTCACCGGTCGCCTTGCTCTGCGCACAAAAAAAAGGATCAGGATATGGGATAAATCTTGTGCCAGCAGGAATTGAATTTGAATTGCTCAGATTGAATCTGAATGTGCATAAGTTGAAATTGGTTTGAAAATAAATTTTACTAAATTGAAACTGGATTTAATGATTTGTATTCAAATTAATTTGCTTTGAAGCTGTATTTTGGTTTATTCAAAATTAAGTTTAACTACTTTCACTTTCAGTTCCAAAATTCAGATTTTTGTGTCACATCCTGGTCCTTGAGAAAGCCAGCCAGAGTAATCAAACACAGATCCACAGATTAACGTTTGACTTCAGTGAAGCTTCCTGTCTGTAATGTAACAGAGTTGATGTAATCCACCGTAAAAGTGACAAAAAAAGACAAAGTTATTTTATTGCAGTGATTAATTTTACCTTTATGTAGAAAATGTTAGATTTACATCACATGGATCACATATTGATCAGATGCTGCTGCTGAATGATCCATGATGGGATGTAAATGTAACGTTTTCTAAAGGTAAAATTAATCACTGCAATAAAATAACTTTTTTTGTCACTTTTACAGTGGATTGCATCAACTCTGTTACATTACAGACAGGAAGCTTCACCGAAATGAAACATAAATCTGTGGATCTGTGTTTGATTACTCTGGCTGGCTTTCTCAAGGACCAGGATGTGACACAAAGATCTGAATTATGGAACTGAAAGTGAAAGTAGTCAAACTGAATGTTTAAAAACCAAAATACAGTTTCAAAGCAAATTAATTCAAATTCAAAACTTTAAATTCAGTTTCAATTTATCCATCCATCCATCCATTTTCTGTACACGCTTCTTCCTTTTCAGGATCACGTGGGTCACTGGTGCCCATATCCAGCAGTCACAGTGCGAGGGGCGGGGTACACCCTGGACAGGTCGCAAGTCCATCACAGGAGTTTCAATTTAGTGAAATTTATTTTCAAACCAATGCATTCAATTTCAAATTATGCACATACAGATTCAATCTGAGCAATTCAAATTCAATTCCTGCTGGCACAAGATTTATCCCACATCAGAACTCATTTAAGCTTCATCAGGACAGAAACTGGTTGAGCAGCTGTCACCTGGCAGAACTCCACGCAGCACTCGTAGAGGACTCCCTTGAGAAGAAGCTGGAAGAGTCGATCCCCGCTGGCCTTAAAGCCCGCCTCGCTCAGCTTCCTGTCGGCAGGGATGAACTCTGCCACCATGTTGCAGGCCTCCTCAAAACACTGCACCCTGGCTGTGCTCGGGTTCCAGTCCTGACGAAGCACAAGACATTACAACCCAGAAAATAAAACAAAGCTACAACTTGACATAAATGAAGAAAACCATTGAAGCCGTTTCCTAAATCCACACACACAAAAAAAAAAACATCTCACAGGCAACTCACCTAATATAAAAACAAAACCATGTTCCGATAAAGTTAAAATACCGATTCATGGAGGTGTGTTACCTTGAACTCGGCGTGGTTGGTGAGGCGAGGCAGTGTGAGGAGCAAACACAATTTGCTGTAATCATCTTTAGTGGGACAGAACTCTTCCAGAGCGTGGAGACACTTCACTGCTTCCTGCATGGTGAACTCCAACTAAAACCATCAAGACCAGCCAGCCACGGAATCAAAACCACCGAGGAGTGATTACAACAGAACAAAACGTCTACACTGAACAAACATACAGCGGGTAAAATAAGTATTGAATACGTCACCATTTTTCTCAGTAAATATATTACTAGAGGTGCTAATGACATGAAATTTTCATCAGATGTCGGTAACAATCCAAGTGATCCATACACACAAAGAAATCAAACCATAAATGACTGGACAGAC